AAAACCGTTCAGCTTGTAAGGAGTTTGGTAGTGATGCTCCTCACATCAGAGGACAATGACTCACCCATGGTATTGTGTCAGGAAGACTCACTTGCACCAGTGTGGGGATGTCACAGCCATGGTGCCTTGAGGCAGGAATTTTAGGCAGAACTCGATTAGATCCATGGAAAAGGTTGGGAAAACTGGAGATATGTACACAGAAGGGGGTTGTGCCTGCTTGGGAAAATTTCTGTTTAACCCTTATCCCACAGAGCAAGACAAGTCCCATGTGGTTTCATGCTGAAACTGTTGTTGTTAAAGGCCCAGAAACTCTCTAAGTCAGTGGGCAGGAAATGATGATGTCACTGAAATTAGTGAGGACCAGCTGATATTTCCAGCCTCATCCATGCTTTGCATGACAACTTGTACAATGAGCTTTGCATGCCTGTTTTGTTGCTTGTTAATAATCTTCAGGAAGTAACAAAACTCTCAAGTCAGGTTTTGTGGAACATTGTGCAACATGTTTGTTTATCCTGTATCTCCCCAGTCTGTTAACTTGCTCCTTTAAATTCAAATGGATACGGTGCTATGCAGATTCTGGCATGTACTTCCTAGGTAAAGTTTTTGCTTTGTTTCCACAGTTGTAACATCTGTTTATACATATTTAAAACCTTAGTCAAGTAGAGAATTGTAATTTCTTTTTTTAAGAACCACTTCTTACTAAACACAACTCGTTTAGTACTTGGAATTAAATAAAACCACTTTAGGCCACTCCAGTTATCCATTCATTAGATGATTTCTGGTTGTATTTGGTTTTCTTTTAGAGAATCGACTTTAAAAAAAGAAATCGATGAAGAAAGAGCATCCTTGCAGAAATCCATCAATGTAACTAGTGCCTTGATCACACAAAAGGATGAGGAACTGGAAAAACTCAGACACGAGGTAAATGGGGAACAGCGAATGGTTCCTAATTTTGATCAAGTCCCAGGCAGAGGCTTTGTGTGCTGCCTGATTGTTCTCCTTTAATGTGGCACAGTTAAACCTTAGCATTAAACCCTTGGATCCCTGTGCTGAGTTGGGTGACTCCTGGCACGTGTTTTTGGGGCTCTTTAGCCCTGGCTGTGAGGGCTGTGGCCTCGGTGCTCTGCCTTTGTGCTGCAAGGCCCTCCCTCAACTCCTGCAGATCACGGTGCTGCGCGGAGAAAACGCCTCTGCAAAAACCCTACAGTCGGTGGTGAAGTCCCTGGAGTCTGACAAGCTGAAACTTGAGGAAAAGGTGAAGAACTTGGAGCAAAAACTCAAGGAAAACAATGAGCAGCCTTTAAATGTAACGAGCTCCTCAGGTAAAGCAAAACCTGCCCCACTGTCTGTGCCTTCAGCTGGAAGGTTGGGAAGAGAGTCTGGGACACCGTTTCAGTCTCTGCCTGAGCCACCCCCTGTGTCCCATCACACCTGGTTTGTTTTTTTTCTCTTTACAGGGGACGCTGCAAATCTACTTCAGGAGGAAATCGCAAGAGAGAAGCAGGTACTGGATGTGGACGTGAGATGCTAAACCAGCAGTGGGGCCATAGGGGAGGGAAATACTTTTCCAAAGACAGTTCCTATCAGGTTTTGTCAGTCAGGATTTTAATGGGCCTTCAGCTTCTGCAATGCCAGTAAATACTAAGAACGAAGGGATGAGTGGTACTGGAGAAACGGTTCAGATTATGGGAACGTGAGGAAGCAAGGAATCAAGGGTGGCAAGGGGTGACCTGTGAGTGAGGTACAGCCCAGCAGAGCACACTCACTGCTCCCTTGCCTTCTTTCCAAGGGTTTCTTGGATGGGAATGAGGGAAAGGTGTGGGCCACCTGAATCTGGTGCTTGCCAAATTGGATAAATGGGCTTCCTGAGCTCCTTCTAAGCTGCTGCAGTTGAAAATGTTGGCCTTGGCTTGTTCCCAAGTGCAGAGCTTGACTCAGAACGCGGGTTGGCTGCAATGGAGAGGGAAGGTGCTCAGTTGGCACGTGCTGGGAGCAGGAGAAATGTGATTCAGAGTGTGATAGTCACAGTGACCACGTGAAGTGCTGCTGTATCACAGAGGCCCGTGCCAACAAATGCCTAGGAAAGATGGTTCGAATAGAATCACCTTCTGCTTGTTATATTAGATCACCAGTGTCAGTGCCAGTGATTAAATGTCCTTCCTAGCTGTGCAGTGATAGGAGGTGTCATGAACATGCACTAACCACCAGTCTTTTTCTGGTTTTCTGCCTCCCTGAATTCACCTGCTGATGGCAACCCTTCCTTGCACCAGGGCGAGGTTGGTTCCACTCCTTGGCTTCCTTTATTTCGTTCACTGTTGATTTGCCAAGTGTTCCTTGGTTACATTTGGCAGTGCTGAGCTCTGGGCTGGGGCTGGGGGAGGTGCCATCCCCCTGCTCCTCTGACTGTCCTTATCCTTGGCTCTCCCAGATTGACTTCCTGAACTCAGTGATAGTGGATCTACAGAGGAGAAACGAGGAACTGAACTTGAAGATACAAAGAATGTGTGAAGCCGCTCTCAATGGCAACGACGAGGAGATAAATAACTATGACAGGTATAAATCCCAAAGGAAACCCGGGCTCGTGTTTTGGGAGCAGTGGGTCGGGAGCTGCACGATGCACCAGCCTGATCTCAGTCGTGAGGAGGGACAGACAGAGATTTCTCTGGTTGAGAATTCAGTGGTTGAATCCAGCCTTCTTTTTACACTGGGGTGTTCCTGGTGGTGCAGGTGATTCTCTGTAGTTTTGGATCACAGACACTCACTCACTGTGACATGTTTGTCGTCAGGCTTGGTGGATCTGCCCTTCCCAAGTGCAGGAGAAGGGTCTTTGCTCTCCAGGGGCCGTAGTTGTGTTGGGATGGGGAGAGAAATAGAACTAAATAGAATAGTCCAGAGAAACAGAACTACAGGCATTTGATATATTGTGACTTCTCAGATCCTTCCAGGGAAAAGAGAAACTAGTTTACATGTGTTTCTTTTAAATGTCTGTATTTGTGCAAATCCTTGTTTAGTAAATATGGCAGTGTAGGGGACTGTGGGGCACTGCAGGGTGGTGGAGGAGCTGAGATCTTCAGGAGGGGTTTGGACTGCTGATTGTTGAGCTCTGTGGCTGTTGCTCAGTCTCAGTAATCACAGGAGCTCACAGTGCCGGGCAGGGCCACAGGCCTCGCTCCTGTGTGAAGGAATCGTGTCCCCTGACTGTGCTGCCCTTGCAGTGAGGAGGAGAGCCTGTCCAAGAAGAAACCACGCCTGTTCTGCGACATCTGCGGCTGCTTCGACCTGCACGACACCGAGGACTGTCCGACGCAGGCGCAGGCGCTGGAGGAGCCGCCGCACTCGGCTCACCACGGCAGCCGGCGGGAGGAGCGGCCCTACTGCGACACCTGCGAGGTGTTCGGGCACTGGACGGCCGATTGCAACGACGATGAGACCTTCTGATGGCAGGGGAGGGCCCGGCCCTGTGCCCCCCCACGGACCTTTCCAACCACCAGCAGCTGCGTGTGCTGAATGTCAGGGAAAGGGACAGCGGTTCTGCCCCTCCCGCTCCCCCTGCCCATCCGCTCCACAGGCAGCGAATGGATAAATATTTTGCTCCTCCACTAATAAATAACCCCTGTCCCTTTTTAACAAACTTCAGTGGAAGGTAAATAAAAGATTTAACAAGTGACTTTATGCTGTTTTTTCCCAGGTTCTGGGTTTGTCCCGCCCTTAACAGGAAATGCCCCCGTGCTGTCGCATCTGTTGATGGGAAAACGTGTATAGGAATGAAGCACTAGAGTTATATTAAAGCTTATTTAAATACCTTAAAAATATGCTGTTAATTTTCATATTTGCACTAAACCATTTTAAGGCTGAATTTGTACATTTAGATTTTTAAGCTTTTTTTTTTTTTTTTTTTTTTGACACTGGACTGAGTTGAGAAATATTTCATCTTTATTTTCCTTTACTCCTTTGACTGCGATGTTGCTCGGTGCCGTGAGCTCTGGGTTGTGGTTTGGTGTGAAACATGGAAACCCGGCGCAGGTAAGGAAGGAACAGAGCTGCTGGGGGGTTTTGGAAACCCGTATGCTGTGCACACCTGAAACAGTTTGTGGGACATCCCTGGTTTGCATTCTTTCTGCTTCTACATAGTGAGTGTGTGGTGTGTGTGTATATATGCATATATATAATAAAGTTATATTTTGGAAAAAAAAAAAAAAAAAGTGTTTTTTTTCCTGCCCTTCTGTTCTGTTTGGAGTGTTGAGGGGTTCTGTGTGCACTGTAAATCACAGAATCAGTTAGGGTGGGAAAGACCTCCGAGATCGAGTCCAACCTGTGCCCGATCCCTACCTTGTCACCCAGGCCAGAGCACCGAGTGCCACATCCAGCCTTTCCTTAAAAACCGACAGGAATGGTGACTCCACCACCTCCCTGGGCAGCCCCTTCCAATACTTGATCACCGTTTCTGTAAAGAAATTCTTCCTGATGTCCAAAGTAAACCTGCCCTGGTGCAGTTTAAGACTATTTTCTCTCATCCCGTCCTTTGTGTCCCTTGTTCCCTGGGAGCAGAGCCCGGCCCCCCTCGGTGCCCCCTCCTGTCAGGGAGTTGCAGAGAGCGAGAAGGTCCCCCCTGAGCCTCCTTTTCTCCAGGATGAGCCCCCCCAGCTCCCTCAGCTGCTCCTGCTGCCCCAGACCCTTCCCCAGCCCCGTTCCCTGCTCTGGGCTGGCTCCAGCCCCTCAATGTCTTTCGTTGAGGGCCCAGAAGCAGACACAGCACTCGAGGTGTGGCCTCTCCAGTGCCGAGCACAGGGGGAGAACCCCTTCCCTGGCCCTGATGTGGCACTATTGCTGACACGGGCCCCATGTAAATCACCATAACTTAACACACCGGCCCAATATAATACACCCTAACTCAACACACGGGGCGCTCCCGCTCCCTGCCCTCACGGCGGCGGGCGGGGCCAGGCCAGGCCATGGCGGCTGCGCGGCCCCGCCCCACGGTCACGCGTGGGGCGGGCGGGGCGGCCATGGCGGCGCACCTGAGCTCGGGCAGGGTGAACCTGACGGCGCTGAGGGAGGCGGGGCGGCGAGAGCTCCGCGAGTTCCTCGACAAGTGCGCGGGCTCCAAGGTGGGAAGAACGCGGGGGGTGGGGGGGAAGCAGGACCGAAGGTGGGAGCACGGGGTCCGAGGGGAGAGCGGGGGCGGGATGGGGATGAGGCCGGGATGGGGACGGGTCGCGGCCCCCGCTGTCCCCGGCTGACCCCACTGTCCCCTCCCCAGGCCATCGTGTGGGACGAGTACCTGACCGGGCCCTTCGGGCTGATCGCGCAGTACTCTCTGCTCAAGGTAAGCGCCGGGCGGGTCGGGAGAGGCTCCCAGCCCTGCCCCGCTCTCGGGTGACGCCCCTGCCCCCGCACAGGAGCATGAGGTGGAGAAGATGTTCACGCTCAAGCCGGGCCGGCTGCCCCCGGCCGACGTCAAGAACATCATCTTCTTCGTCAGGCCCAAGCTGGAGCTAATGGACATTATCACCGACAACGTGCTCAGGTACCGGGGGACACGTGTGGTCTGAACCACCGTGTGGTTTGTTACACCTGGGCAGGGAATGAGGGATCTCGTGCAGACACCAAACTGCAGCACAGCCCCTCGGGGGCTTGAGTGGGGTGCAAGACACGCTGGGAAGAGAGAGGGGCTTCCCTTTGGCTGCCATGCAGAGGATCTGTTCCTCCTTATGAGGATATGCGTTCCTTCTAATTAGCTGGAATGAGTCGTGCTTGGATGGATGCTCCTTTTAGGAACTGCAGGACAACAAAGTCCCCTTGCCCTGGTGCCAGACCTGTGTCTGCACACGGCTGGGTTGTGCATCCTGGACACATGCAAAGCTGGGAGGTGGCAATAATGACTCAGTGCAGTGCTCCTGCTGTGGCTCTTCCAGGGAGGACAGAGGCCGCTCTCCCCAGAGGGATTTCCACATCCTGTTCGTGCCGCGCCGCAGCCTCCTGTGCGAGCAGTGGCTGAAGGAGCAGGGCGTGCTGGGCTCCTTCATCCACCGCGAGCAGTACAGCCTGGACCTCATCCCCTTCGACGGGGACCTGCTCTCCATGGAGTCTGAGAGCGCCTTCAAGGTGAGCACCTTGAGGGAAAACTCTGTGTGGTTTTGGGTTGGCCATTGGTGTCAGTGCAGCGGCTCTCAGAGGGTTCATGGGGGACCTGCACAGCACGGAAAGGCCTTGCACAGCAAAGGGGGCTTGATCTGAGGCCTGAACTGAGCCTGAACTTCCCTGTGTGTTTTCACACACTGAAGGAACAGTCACTACATGCAGTTGCACCCAGTCCCTCCAGCTTTACCTGCTGCTGTTGTTACCACAGATGGGGCATTCCTGAGGCTTGGAGCACTCAGCTGTCAGGTGGAGCCAGCACAGTGTGTGTCGCTGCACAGTCAGGGATTCGTGTGAAGGTTCATCCTGCACTGAGCACTAACAGCTGGCACGTCCCAGCTGTGTGTCCTGTGTTCCCAGAGTGCTGCATCTGGGGAACAGGATGGTCTGGGAGTTTCTTCGGCCCTCTCTGCCACATGAAGTGTAGCCCAGAGGACATGTCAGGGCTTGCAGCTACCATGAGGTGTTGGGTGCTCAGATGGCCTCATTAGCAGCAAGAGGCTCCTTGCACTCACGTCCTGGCTCTCTTGCCCCATCAAACTGGGTTTGTGTGTGGAGTTCAGAAATACTGTAGTGTCTGGTCTGGCCAAATGATTTGCTGTAGCGATGGCACAAATAATGAGGTCCATATTTGCCACCAGCCGTAGTTTTTTCCTAGCCTATGTCTTGTCTGAACTGTTCACGTGAACCTCACTCTGCTGTGGAAGCAGCTGCGTTGGATCAACTCCTCCTAAAAGAATCCTTCTTGTTCTTTAGGAATGTTACCTGGAGAGCGACCAGACCAGTCTGTACCATGCAGCAAAGGGGCTGATGACACTGCAGGCTCTCTACGGAACCATCCCGCAGATTTTTGGGAAGGGCGACTGTGCTCGGGTGAGGATGAAAAAATGCATCTTGTTCTTTTTTTAATCCAGCCACGACACTCACTTGTCCTTTTCCTTCTCTCTGATCAACCTGTGGTTTAATTGGTACCTTTTTGTGGTGAGGGAGCAGCTTGAGGTGAAGGCAGTGCTGTGGCCAGTTGCTGTCTCGCCAAGCTGCAGAGAGCAGCAGAGAAGGACTTTGTTTTCTCTGTCTCATCCTGCCCTGTCCATCAGCCAGTCTGAACCTCCAGCCGTTCTCTTCCTTTTTACCCAGGGCTGTGCCCACGCTTGCACGAGCATGTGCCTGTAGGGCTCAGAGCTCAGATCCATCTGCTGCGGCCTGGACCGTAACCAGGCTGATGTGCCTTCCTTTCAGCATGTGGCCAACATGATGATCAGGATGAAGCGGGAGTTCCCTGGGAGCCAGAACTCCATTTTTCCCGTCTTTGATACCCTCTTGCTGCTGGACCGCAACGTCGACCTGCTGACGCCGCTGGCCACGCAGCTGACCTACGAGGGGCTGATAGATGAGATCTATGGCATCCAGAACAGTGAGTTTTTTGGGGAGGAGGGGCTTTCCCGTGCCCTGGGGGAGTCTCCCCTGCGCTGGAGCCAGTTGCAGTGTGTCACAGTGGTTCCTGCCTCGCCAAATGGCTGTGGGGTGGGAGCAGCTCAGCTGAAGGGAGTGCAGGGTTGGTTCAGTCCCAAACTGGAGCCCATCAGGATCCACTCTGGCCCTTTTTGCCTGGGAAGGGGAGCTGAGCAGTGTGTGGTTATTGAATGGGCACATTGTGGATACTGGCTGGGTGTACACATGGTGTACAAGTAGAAATAGTGTGTGCCTTCACCCTGCAGCCTGGCTGGATCATGTGTCACACTGAGGGGACAGGGACAGTTTTTGGTGGCCATTCAGAGTGTACTCCTCCTCTTCAGGAGGTAATAAGAAAACTCCAGAGAGGCATTTATGGGCTGTAATTCCTCCTGCTGGACTGGACTGGACTGGCTGCAGGGCTCATCCAAACCTCTCTGAAAGCAGGGCAGCTGGCACTTGGGTTCTGATCACGTGTGTTTGTGTAGGTCCCTGGGTGAGTGCAGTGAGACTCTCCTTAATTAACACCCAAGCACTGAGGGTTCTGGGTGTTTGTATTTGCCCTGCTGCTCAGAGCTGTTTCTCTGCATTTGGCAGCTTATGTGAAACTCCCTCCTGAGAAGTTTGCCCCAAAGAAGCAGGGTGAGGGCGGGAAGGATCTCCCCACGGAGCCCAAGAAGCTGCAGCTGAACTCCGCAGAGGAGTTGTACGCAGAGATCCGCGACAAGAACTTCAATGCTGTGGGGTCAGTGCTCAGCAAGAAAGCCAAGATCATCTCAGCAGCCTTTGAGGTGAGGCCTGAATGCAGCAGTGTGTACTTGTCATCAGCTAAGTCACAGTGTGCCCTCAGCAGGGCAGTGACTGGCAGCTCGAGCTGCTGCCAAAGAGTAATGTCCCAGCCAGAGAAAAAACAGTCTTGAGAAGCCCCTCCAGTCTGTTCCCCTGCCCTGGGGTGAGATCAGCTCCACTTGGACTGGGAGGTGTTGGTCAGATCTCCTTTGAAGAGTCCTGCAGTAATGTGGATCCTCTTCCCCACACCTCTGTTCTGGGGCTTTCCTTCTCCTCAGAGCTCCTGCCATGTGAGCCCATAGTTCCCACAACAGGAATTGCTTACCTCAGTCTGCAGGACAGTCAGGTGCTGCTTCCCTCTGCAAGAGGCCAAAGTTCAGTTTTAGTGTGCTGTTCAATTCCACTTTGCTGCTCTTGCTGCCTGTTCACTGAAAGGTCCTTTTCTATTCACTGAGGATGCAGAGAAAAGGCTTTAAGCAATAAAACTCCAGAACAGCTTATTATGGCTGGCATAAAAAACAGTAGGAATGTGGAAAATACAATTGCCTTGCAGAAGTTTTTATTCATGCTCATGTGTCACCTTAGACAGAGCTGGAAAGTTGTGTGGGGCGTGTTTGTGGTTTTGTTTGAAAACATCCTGTTGATGATTCATAAAGAAACTGAGACCCCATATCTCGGCTTTCAGACTTCATTGGGGTTCTCAAGAGAACTCAGAACACTCTTTGATTATATTTTCTTTATGTTTTTTTAATCCTTTCACCTCTGCCACATCTAAGATGAGGTACCTTAACTGAAATACTGAGTGCTCAGCCTCATCTCCTAGTACGTGTTTGCTTCTGCAGTGCCAGTGCTGGAGGAGCTAAAGCTGGATTATTTCTACTGGCTGTTAAAAAAAAAAGAGAATTTTAACAAATTGTCAGTGGTAATAGGTGATAATGAAACAGCAGCATATTGGCAGCAGAGCACTTCTTAAATTGCAGGCTCCATCATTATCACTGTCCTGCCTGCACTTGCCCGTTTAAATCCTTCACATATGAGTCAAATTAGTATTATTTTTATTCCAAGTTGCAGCAAGAGGCAAGTGGCCCAAGTGCAGTGCAGACCTCTGGACTGCTCTGAGAGCTGAACTCTGCAGGGGCTCCAGCACATCCTGGCTCAGAGCCTGGCACGTTGCTGCAGCCAGGTCCAGGGAACAGCAGAGCCTGCCAGCCCAGCTCCCAGCACCTCTCACTCCTGCTCCCAGGAGAAATGGCCCCCAGCTCTGCCACCATTGGCCCAGAGCTCCAGGTCTCCTGGCAGCCAGCAAAGTAATTCCTTTTTGTGTGAAAAAGGCAGTTTTCCCTGGTAGGGAAATGGAGGAGAGCGAATAGTGATGGCTGGAGTCAGACAAAGGTGGATGAAACGGTTGGCAACACTGGTGTAATGGAAGATAACCAGTCTGATGATGCTGTTGTATCATGTCCTGCCTCTTCCAATGATCCAGGTGCTGTTACAGGTAGTGCTGCGACTTTAGTGAAAGCATTTAAAGCCTTTGGTCTAAAAGGCCACGTATCTCCAACTCCTGCAGGTGCAGTGAGTACAGTAAAACAGCTTTCCATGACAAACTGACCTAATCAGTGTTACTGCCGTGCACAAGGCCTAACCTCAGCATGGGTTTCTCCAGGAGAGGCACCACGCCAAGACGGTGGGGGAGATCAAGCAGTTTGTGTCGCAGCTGCCCCACATGCAGGCGGCCAGGAGCTCGCTGGCCAACCACACCTCCATCGCAGAGCTCATCAAGGACATCACCAGTGAGTATGTGCTCAGCAGCCCCTTGGGCTGCTTTCAATGCAGCCAGAGGGCAGGTGACTTGATGGGCATCGCTCAGCCTGGCAGAAGCTGGCTTTGCTCCATCCGGTGCATCTCTGCTGAAAGGGTCAGAGTAGAAAATAAGCTGTCTGTTGCTGTTGGGTTGATTTTCATTCTCTTCCCGAAGCATCTGAAGATTTCTTCGATAATTTAACAGTGGAGCAAGAGTTCATGTCTGGAATAGACACAGACAAGGTAAGTAGATAATGACGATTAGTGACTCTTACATCTTCAAAAAATGGGTTTTTCCCCTTTGGGTTTTTTTGAGAGAGGAATATCTGATGCAGATGATGTCTGGTGATGTGCCTCGCTGAATTAGCTGTCCCTGCCCGCGATGCAGCTGCACAGCCGGGGGGTCTGACCTGGGCAGGGGTGGTGTGTGCTGTGAGGGGTCGGTGAAACGTTGAAGATGGTTAATCAGAATTGTTCCGTGCAGCAGGCAAAGTCTGGCTGCTCACTGTGGAGCTGCCATCCTTCAGGGACAGCCCAGGTGGAACCTGGGTCACTGTTCAGCAGATGGTCCTGAGCTGTCTGGAGAACAGCTGGACCCTCTTTCTTGCTGTTTTGGAGACACTAAGCAAACTAGATCTTTCTTTCCAGGTCTTCTAGGCACTTTAACAGTTCTCTAAATAACAGTTTGTGTATTTTATTTAATAGGTTAACAATTACATTGAAGACTGCATAGCTCAAAAACATCCATTAATCAAGATCCTGCGTCTGGTTTGCTTGCAATCCGTGTGCAACAGTGGATTGAAGCAGAAGGTTCTGGACCATTACAAGAGAGAGATTCTCCAGGTTGGGCTCTAACTTTTGGATCAATAAATTCCTGAGAAAATCCATATCACATCCTCAGCTCTACAACACTTGCATTCTAGGCAGACACATCTTAAAACCAGGGTAGTGTTGAGTTCCAGAGTGCTCAGAGGGAACAGGGGGAGTCAGTCTGGGATGACAGCAGTGAGTGGGGGGGTGCTTGTGTGTGTTACAACATGTAGAGACAGAGGTTTATATCACTGCTCTTTTTACTGTTACATTTTAAACACTCTAAATGGGATACACTCTAGAGAGATCTTGAACCAAAAAGCTTTTTTAAACAAACGTGTTTTTTAAATTAATATCTTTGCCTTTTTTTTTTTTTAACACTCTGGTCATGGGTTACTGACATGGTATTAAAGGTGACTTCTTCATATTGCAGACTTATGGCTATGAACATATATTGACCTTAAACAACCTGGAAAAAGCTGGACTGCTGAAACCTCAGACAAGTGGCAGGAATAACTACCCCACGATCAGGAAAACGCTGCGCCTGTGGATGGACGATGTTAACGAACAGGTAAAACCAGCCGTGAACGCTCTGTACAACCACAGAACTATGTGCAGCGGGGAAAACCCTTTTTTTTATTTCCACATCATTTATTTCCGTGGCCCTGCTCTGCAGCATGAGGTGGCTCTGACCTGCTGCCCCCCCTGCGCTCTGTCCCGCAGAACCCCAACGACATCTCGTACGTGTACAGCGGCTACGCCCCCCTGAGCGTGCGCCTGGCACAGCTCCTGGCCCGCCCGGGCTGGAGGAGCATCGAGGAGGTGCTCAAGATGCTGCCAGGGCCCCATTTTGAGGAGAGGCAGCAGTTACCCACTGGCCTTCAGAAAAAGCGTAAGTTTTGCTTTGTTTTCCCATGTTTTAGAGGGAAGTGCGTCTCTGTTAGGCTGGAACGAGGCAATCTGAAATCAGGGGCCTCAGTGTCTCATCTCCCTGTCCCACTGCAGTATTAGACCTGACTAACCATTCTTTGACAAATTGTTTGAACTTCCCATCAGAGTACTAAAATAAACTCCAACCTGCGATTTTAGTATGTAAAATTACTTTACAAAGAATGTCAGCTTCACTTTCCCAGCATTAAAACTGGTCAGGCAGAAGCACATCAATAAAGAGACTCCAGAGCAGGAGCAGAGTCTGGATTCACCCAGTAAATTTTCCCCCTAATTCAGCTGCTCTCTGTAGTTTAGTTTGAGGTCATTTGAGTTTGGCTGACAGTTGATGCACTCAAACTAAGCCAGCCTGCCCCTTTCCCTGCTCCCCAGGTCAGCACGGGGAGAACAGGGTCACTCTGGTGTTCTTCCTGGGAGGGGTGACCTACGCCGAGATCGCCGCGCTCCGGTTCCTGTCCCAGATGGAAGATGGAGGCACAGAGTATGTCATTGCCACTACAAAACTCATCAATGGAACAACCTGGATCAAATCCTTGATGGAAAAACTGGAGCCTGCCCCTTTCTAGGGTGTGTGGTGAGAGACAGTGAAGCGAGAGGCGTTGTGTGACACAGGCGTGGCTGGTCCTGGCTCTGCTGCTTGGACACTGGAGGAACACGGCAGTGAAAGGAGCTCTCCTGAGACCAGCTCGTGATCCAGTGACCCTTCATCCCTTCTGCACTTGTGTTCCAGCCCTTTGTGGAACATCCTATTAGACAAGCAGTGCTGGGAGGCACTAAGGATGGAATAAACCACGGGAGAGAATGAGGAATCCCTGCTCGTGCTCTGACCTGGCAGCCAAGCCCTGGGGGAGTGGGGATGTGCCCTGGTCCTTCTCTTTGGCAAATTGCTGCTTTTTTTTCTTTCAGTTTAGTTTTGGTGGGAGATGGAGGGGGAGGATGTTTTCTGTTCCTGATTTCATAGCAGTATTCCCAGTCTGTCTCTCTCTGGTGCTCGGTACATTCCATGGCTGCACTGGCTGTGTTTGTCAGAGATCTGTGCCTCTGACCCTTGAGCCTTTCACTTCACTTGCTCCTTGAAGGGATCGTTGTGAGGTGGCTTGTTTGTCCCAGGTACTCCCACCTGCCTGTGGAAAGCTACTCCAGGGTATGAATTACATCAGCGTGGCAGGAGCTGATGGTTGAAGACACACAAACACTCCCAGGGTGGGACTTGGGCCAAAACCAGCAACAACAGGGGCCCAGTAAACAGCGGGTCTAAAACAGACACTTTTTTCACCCCCCTGCTGAGGTTCTAAACTGGTCCTCGCTGTCACAAGGTGTTGTAGAGCTCAAACTTATAAAATGGAATTTTCCACGGGCTCGGTGACTGCGTTGACTGCGCCCTTGGTGTTGCTGAGCCAACGTGTGTGCAAGAGGAATCTTCCAGGGGCTGGGAAGGAGGGCAGGGGTGGTGTTGGTGCCGAGTGGGCACAGTCACTGTTCCCACAGGCTTTAACAGCCCCCACGGGAGAATCCTAATTAGTTAAAGACAACAACAACAAAAAAAACAAACCACAACTTAAATCACTTTCTTACCAAGCATTTCTGCGTTTAGTTATCCTGCATAATATGGCCCAATAAACCCTTTCTTTTTTCCCAGTTGTCACAGTTGTGACTGTGAGGTTTGGCCCGTTGTTTTATTTTCTGAGTTCTGCCAAACGAAGGCCCTTCATTGGCCCCCTCTGTCTGCTTAACCTCAATTATTAGAATAAAATAAAGAGGTATTTGATCTTTTTTTGGAAGTGTTTACACTCTCTGGAATACGAAAATAAATAAAGCAAAACCCTGCACTGTGGTAGCTGTGTTCTTCTGCCTCCTCCCTGAATTACTTAAAATAAATTACCTGAATTACTTAATTTTTTTTAAATATCTGAATGTTTTTTTCTTTACACTCATTCAAAATTTCATTCTGTTTTGCCACCTAACATACTACATCAGAAATATCTGTGGGATTTCTTGACTTTTAAAGAAAAATACAATTTCAGTCTTGGGAGACTTTTTACTGGAGGTGGGTAGGGAACATGCAGATTTAAAAAAAAAAAAAAACTAACAAAAAGAAATCATTCAACTCAGACAATGATGCAAGGAGCAAGCGTGGATTGCCTTGCTCTGCATTATTTCTGCAGTTCCATTTAGAGTAACTGATTTCAGAGTATTTAAAAAGAAAATTGAGTGAGCTATGGATCAAAAATTAGATGTTACTGTGCAAAGAAGAAACAATGTGACTCAGGGCAGTCCTTAAGGTGTCCTTGGCCTGGCCTGGGGGGTCTTTTGAACTATCAAAATTTCCATTTTTTTTTTATTTTATTTTATTTTATTTGTTTTTAAATCTTAAAAAGTGAACCAATCCTGGGAAAATGTCTAGCCCTGATCAGGCTGGTCTGTGAACTGAGGTCATGCTGTGTAAAAGCTGCACCACAGGTGAATAAAGGAAACCACACGAAGTCCCACTTCCCCAGCTGACTTTACCTTCCACCTGGACCAGCAAAACATGTTTGTTAGCAACTCTAGAGGCAAAACCCCAGACACTTGGTAAAATCTGAATTTATCAGCAACACTGCTGCCTGGTTTTTTTGCAGACTTGCCCCAGCACTGAGCTGTGTGGCCACTCCACATAGAGAAAGTCTCTTCCTGGAACTATTCAACAACAACAACAAAAAATAAAAGCCATCCTGACACTGATAATTCCCTGGAGGAGCAATTACTACTTAACAGGCTTCCTGAGCAGCTGATTATGTTCTGCTTCTGTCCAAGGCCCTGCTGACCATGTGGATAATAATTTGATAACAAGGGAGCCTAATTAAATTAAGGGGCCATTTTCTACATCATAATATATTTGTAGGCAAGAGATTTGATCTGCAGAACATGATCTTCCTTCTCTCTGCTGTCTGCGTTACAAGCAAAAAAAAAAAAATAAACACATCACCCAACCTCTCTACCCCCAAAGACTTTCACTTTTCATCCAGCAATATCAGAAAGCGGTTTTGCTAAAAATCAGCATATATCCTGGCTCCCTTCTCCCCCCACTGCAAAGGGGCTGCAGTGCTCGTGGTCTGAAAGGTGAGGGTGGCACCCTGGGAGGGCAAGGGACAGTGATCTGGTGACAGTGCAGGCATTAGGCTGCCCTCAGCCCAATCTTTAGGTAAAAGAGCCAGACCCAGCCTGCACAGTCCCACCCTTGGGACCAGCCCCAGCTGTGTGTGAGCATCCTCCTCCTCCTCCTCCTCCTCCCCGAGTGGCCCACAGAGCACAAGGGAACAGTGCAAGAGGCACAGCAGCCTCTCAGATAACAGAGCAAAAAAAGTGTCAGATGACACCTTTTTGCTGGAGATAAAAACCCCCCAACTAAACCAACGCAGGTTTCGACCTGGTAACACCAAGCCCTGGTGCTTAGACCCAGGCAATGCTGTTGGCTGCAGCCCCTGGGGAAGGGGAGCTGTTTGGCTGCTCCCAGCACGACGCGCTGTGTCGTATCATAACCGCCCTGACCACACCTAGTCCTGCACACACACCCCGCTATTCCCGGCTCCAGAGCGGATCACAGCGGGATCAGCCCACGGCACAAACCCCCGGGAAGCCAGAAATCCAAGGGACAGCTGCAGAACAAAACTAGAGAGAAAGAAGACTTTGACACACCAGAGCCCAGGTAAGCAGCTCGTTTCTTTATCAGTATCTCCCCAGATAACCGGGGATCCCGTAAAGCCCGTGGATAGAAAACTTCAACGCCTTGAACAACGGGGAAACCACGGCGGGTTTAAAAATGAAATGATTCCTATACTATATACATGTGCCTGAGCTTAGAATGAAACGACTGAACTCTTTAACAAGAGCAAAAACTGAACTCTCTATCAGAAAACCTCTTTAAAAAACATTCTAAGTGGCAGGATAAGAATTCAGTTTACTTTGGCTGGCTTTAGACAGCTTAGAAGAGAAATAATCCTTTTGGGTTTGCTTTATCTAAAGTCTCGTTTTAAGATCCCTTTATGTGCTTGACCAAGAGCGTAGATATTTTTCATCAGGCACAGCTGTGATCAAAATTTAAAAGCACATGTAAATTGGAGAGATGATGATAGAATTTTTTAGGTGGGTCTTCACAGCTTTAAGGAGACAATGAGTTTTGTGAAAGAGTTTAGATTTAATTTTAAACTATCGAGCAAGCACTTCCAAAGCAAGTGCAAATATGACTTTAAAATAAAGTTAGAAGATGAATTCTAAAGCATTTTACCCCATGTCTCCCATTTAAAGGTTATTTTTAACGCGAGATATAAATATTTGCCTATTCAAACTTGTATTTAAGCCTCAGTTTTCGTCATTCTTAAACAAAAGGCTCAGTTTGTGCCAGTATTTCCATTAGATGCAATTATAGCATTAAATATTAACGGTGGCTTCCTTGGAGGAATTGACCACTTTGATCAGAACATGCTGTTGGTAATGCACCATCAGTGGCCACTCTGATCCTGAAGCTTCCTGGATGCTCAGGCACTGCCACAGGGGAAAGATTCCAGGAGCCTCTGGCCTCACCCACACGGCCATGCCCACTGCCTGTGTCTGTATTTCCATCTGCTTCATTAACAGTCCTAACTGTGAGACCTTGATCAGATTCCAAACTCTCTTTCAACACTGCACAGCTCGGGAGGACTGTGAACAGGCACACGAGTCCCACCGGACACCAACAACATCCCAGGTGGGCATCAACCCTCCCAATCACAGGCTTTGAGACTGTGAATTACAGTCTCCCTGCTCGGGAAGACTCACCCTGTCCCTGTGCTTACAGGCTGGGGAGAAGCAGGAGCATCCAACCCCGGGGATCCCACCTGCCGGAGAGCGCGATGCCGGAGTCCTTCGCCATCCACGTCCTCAAGGTGCTGAGGGAGCTGCTGGCCTTCGTGCTGTTCAGCTACACGGTGCTGCTGGGGGCACTGCTCCTCGCTGGCTGGACCACCTACTTCTTGGTACTCAAATGAGGGCTCTGCTCCTGCTCTTGCTCCTGCTGCTGCAGCCACCGGCTTTCCAGAGGCAACCAGCTCCGGTACGCGAGATGGACGGCCCTTCCCCCCGCGCCAAACCTGCAAGTGTTTTGTGCCCTTCCAGCCTCACCACAACCTTATTTTCTTATGTAAAAACAATAAAAGGAAAGGCGTCAACTTGCATGCGCTCTGCTGATCTCTTGTGGCTCTTGCAGATTCTTTGTGTCTCCCTGGGTATTTGCCTCTGTTCCCTGAAATGTTTAAAAGCCTCCCAGCAGTTTTCTCCTGAGACTCCCACCCTGCCTAGAAAGGGACAGGAGGGATGCAACACAATTCCAACACGACCAGTATCTCAATAAACAAGTCCTGCCTTGTCCAACTCTGCCTAATTAAGGGTGTGAAGGCAGAGAGACAGAAATTACTCGTCGGTTTATTTAGAAGTCCTGGAAAAAGACGTTTCAAACCAGTACAAGGTTTCCTTCTCCCTACTGTTTTATGAGGTACAGGGGCAAGGAAAGGGCAAACAAAGGAATTAATGTTCATGGGCTACAAGCTTCATGGTTCTCTCATTAATTAGTGTTCTATCTTCTGTTGTTTAATGGTTCTCTTATTTCTCATGTGAATCAGTGGCAGACTCAGCCTTTCTCTTGTTTTGGGTCTGGGGGTTTCTTGGGTCAGTCAGCTTTTATCCCATCGGAGCCGATTTCAGCCCAGTTGCTGAGTTGGGTTTATTGGTTTCTTCCTTCTCTTGAGGGTTCTGCCCCGTGTCTTTGTGGCCTGTAAATTTTGCATTCCTTGTGTCCACCATCAGTGGAAATCCTTCTCCCTTCACTTTGTTAACCTGCCTCAGGTCTGAAATTACTGAAACGTGTCCAGCCCTAAACCTTAACAAGGAATTCTACCCACAAGCCATTTGTTTTTCTAACACCTGGACACCACTTAGAGCTTGTGTGCTGCTGTTTCACAGATTAAATCTCCCTTCTTGCTTGAGGGAGTTGAAGGTTGGACATCTGGGATCTTAAATTTCTGGCCCTTCAAAGACACGTTGGAGTAACCAGGAGATACAAAGGGGATTAAAAAAGACAGCACATCCTGAGAGCTGGACACTCTCCGTCTGAGGAAGAATGATAAGAGGACCAAAGAATGCTGACCAAAATAGCCAGTAAGGGATAGAACACTAATTAATTTAAGGGAACGGTGTGGCTTGGAACACACGCCCTCACGGCCCCTCACGCCGGGCCCCGCCCCCGGTGACGTCACCGCGCTGCGCGTCCCAAGATGGCGGCGGGCGGGCGGTGGGTGCGGAGCTGCTGCTCCCTCCTCAGGTACCGCGGCCGGGCCGGGAGGGGCGGGGGGGACGCACAAGGAGGAAAACCCACCGGTCGCTTTTTTTGCGGGGAGATCGCTGCATCCTAGCAAAGATCGCCGCGTTGCTCCCGCGCTTTTTCTTTCTCTGCTCGAGTGTTTTCAGTGGCAGGCCCTGACCCCCGGGGGGGACGTTTTCACGGCGTGGGATGCAAATAAAACTGTCCGCAGGAGTGCCTCTGGATTGTAACAAATTCCCTGTCACATTTCTCACCTGCATGTACCGAACACCACTTTCAAGCATGTTTTTTAACCTGATTTTCAGTATTACTGACTACCAGCAGCGTGCTCATACCAGATAAGATTTCCTCTCTTAGTAATGCACTACTTATTGTGCTTGTCTTATTTCCTTGCACTTAAGTGACAATAATTCAGTAACAATAATTAAGTAACAATACAAAATTTGAAACAAGCTTACCCACTCACTGTTGAGCAGCTCCATTCCAGAAGCCTGGTTCCCCTAGAGCAGCTTCGAGGGGT